CTTGTCCTTAATTGGAGTGTCTTACTATAGTCAGTGATCACCTGCTGCTTAAATATAAAGGATATTTTCAGATAGGCTAAGGTAAGGGGAAACACTGGCTTTTCTGCTCATCAGACCAGAGGCAAAGGCAGGTCTGGGACCTCTTTGTGTATCACTTGGAGGTAAAAACTGACGTGAGGGCCTTTTATCTCCTTACTTCTTCCCCCAGGCTATCTGTATAAAAACATATACCAGCTCACTTGGGTCCCTGGAGATTGGAAGAAAGCAGAGTGATTTTTCTACACAGCTACGGGTCAGCTATCTTTTAATTTTAGTGTTCTCCACCAACCCAGGATATAGAAAAGTCTTATTGCTTGAGAAAATCAACACAACCTACAGCCAGTTTGCTTTGCTACCTGTTTTGCTAACTGCTTTGCTACCTATTAGGCAAAACTTACAGCAAGGGAAAAGTCTATTTGCCTTGTAGGATGCATTCTGCCAAGGTGAGATGGATTTCCTTCAAAGACATATCTATCTACATTTTTTTGTGCTGCCTGCTTTACATGTGTTCTGCTGTGCTTAGGAAAGGTCAGTTGGGAGTGGAGCAGGGCTCTGCCTCCGCTTTGAACAGCACCGAAGCAATTCCTGTGCTTCCTTGAACAGTGTCTGCCTGCCTCTTAAGTAGGCCATGCACCAGGGGGTGGGGAAGGGTTTGAGCAGTTTCACGGGCTGTAGTGAGGGACTGAAGGGACCTGGGTATTCACAATGAAAAATTCTCTCTGATAAATGTAGTTGAAAGAGCTGAAACCTGGGGCTGTAATGAGGAGAAACCCTGTGTTTGCTGCCCAAGTTGAGAAGTCTGGTTGTGCAACTGTAAAAATGAGACCTTGATAGCAATACTTACCTCTCCAGGAATGTATTTTGGCAGGAAGGTTCTTTGTAGGATGGTGATGAATAATAAATAATGCTATATGGAGAAAGAGCTCTACTCTGCCTCAGCTTTACTGCTAGAATAGCACTTTACTCTGAATAGTCCTGTTGATCTTGGTGGGTTTATTCCTGGAGGAAAGATGTTGACTCAGTTTGAGTTAAAAAAGCAAGATCTAAAAGGTTTTCCTTAAAAAAATAATTTCTAAATGAGATTCTACTTCATTGTGATTATTTCTACCATGCACAGAGATAATACTTTTGGAGTGCAAGTGATCACTTACGTTGTATGGTTGGCCCACAGRCTGGCGTGGTGCATACACCATGCTATACGGAGTGGTCAGTTCTCGCATTTTACAAGGCTGTGGATTTTATTTCCTCTAGCTCTTATCAATATTGTTTTCTTCCCTACCATCTCTCCCCAGTTGCCATTAAAGGAGATTCTGATATCTCTGAAATACCCCTGGAAAAAGGGCTGTCTGGCTGTGATAGACTGAGCAAGCACCACCAGAGGCCAAAATGTGATGTTATGAAAAGGCACTTTGAGAGGGCTTTTTTGCCACAACACTTCAAAAATTGCTAGTGTAGCTTCTTGTGAATCTGCTGGAGTCCAAGAGGTGCTGGGAACTCAGCCACTCAGTGTTAGCTGAATTTAGGCAACATGCTTGGATTTCTTAAAAGTTAGGGAGCACACTTGGTACCACCAAGCTAACTTAGCTAACTTTCTCGTGTCCAAAGAACCTTCTCACTTGGGTTTGCCTTATGCTGGGAGGCTGGTATGATCAGGTCTCCCTCAGCAATACCTGTAGGAAAGTAAATGTAGCAGGAAAGTGAATGTTAATTCTAGGCAGAAAAGATAAAGGAAYTGGACCCAACATAGCAATGTTTTGTTTTCTTGTACTGTAAGCAATGGTCTCATGTTCATAAGCATGACTTTGTGTCCTTACTCAGGTTGCATAGTGCCTTACTACCTGGTCAAAGCATTATTCAGTGTGAGAAAGATGGGCAGAACTGAGCCCTTTAAGTCCTTCACTTGCCCTTGTGTCCCACTAGCTGGGAAGACTAGTAAGCTGTATCAGGAAGAAAGATTGGGTACAAACTGGAAGGTTTGTTGTCTCTTTGGTATTAATAAGATCATCTGTGGATACTACATCATGTTCTGATGTTCACTTAGAAAAACCCGAGGTTGAGAAATTGGCAGTGATGTAGAAAAGAGCTGCATGACTAATTTAATAGCACAAAACTTTCTAGGGAGAGGCTAAAGAAGCTCCATCTAGCTTATGCATAGACAGTGTTCAGCAAGGACTTGATCACAGGCTGCAAGTACCAAATGTGGGCAGTGATAGCTGATAGCAGAGGGCACTTTCATCTGTCAGAAAAAGTCCTAATGAGATCAGATGCCTGGAAGCAGAAGCTGGACAAATTCAGATTAGAAATAAGGTGCAGTGTTTAAAGTGAGGTTAATTAACTGTTGGAATAACTTAGCTGCGGTGAATTTTCTGCCACTTGAAGTCTTAGGATCTTGCAAAAGTTATCTGTGACTTGCATAGAAGCTGTGGCTGAATGCAAGATTGCTGGGGGAGGTTTGAGGGCCTGAAATGAGAGTCCAAATTGCAGCAGTTCATTTCTGGTCCATTTCYGCTACGACTTGCAGCAGTCCCTGAGGAGGGAGGGACCAGTTTGTCAGTCGGCATGGGGAGCCCAGCACCTCAATGTCTCCTCTTGCAGTTATTCACAGCCTGGCTCCCCGGGTGAGGACCCTGGAGATTGAAGCAGAGGCATCCTACAAGCCACAGAAGGACCAACATAGCGTGATATCCTGCGAAATGCTGGGTCCGGCTCTCTTCCACCTTCCGAGCACGCGCTAACCATTAATTTGTCCAAAACTTGAATGATGATGGGTGTTGGTAAGATAAAGTGTATGTGTGTGGGTGGATGTGGGTGCTGGTGCGTGTGGTGGCTCGGAGAGCAGAGGCCAGGCCGGGAGGGTGACTGGAGGCGGCTCTGACAGCAACATGTTAATATGATTAATGACAAAACTTAATTTGCACCGACAGTTCCTTCCCACACAAAAACAGCAGGCAGCGCAGCAGGCCGCAAGGGCAGGGGACTTCTCTGGAGGTTTGGAGGGCTCTGGAAGGGAACAGTGAGTGGAGAGGGGCTGGACGGAGTGGGCTGGGGTGGGTTTAGATGGTGCAATCGGTCCGTTTTGGGATTCAACGAGATTTCATGAGGAAAGGCACAAGTAGGAGGCGTTTAATAGCGCCCTGCTCCGTTAAGGGTCCACATGGATCACGAGCCACATCAGGCAGGGTGGCTCCGTGGTGGTGGGGCGGCCAGGGCAGCGGCAGGAGCCGTTGGTCAGGCGACCGTTGGGCGGGCGGGAGCCGTTGGGCGGGAGCCGTTGGGCAGGAGCCGTTGGGCGGGCGCGAGCGCGGCCGTTGGGCGCGCGAGGAGGCGGCGGCAGCGGCGCGGCGCGCCCGCGAGGGGGCAGCAGCGCCGCAGAGACGGCGGCCGCCGCCGCCCGTGTCCGCGGCCCCACGGGCACCCGCGGAGACGAACGTCCCTCCGGACCGTACAGCCCTTCCCCCAAAGCGGCTGCGGGGGCATCAGACCGGGCGCCTCGTGGGGTGACTGCCCGTCCACCCACCCACGCTCAGGCGTGGAACCATTTCTGTGGCATCTTTGCGGTTGTTCCTGTGGCCATCGGGCAYAATATCCCGTATGTCACCGGTGCTTCCCCTTGCAACACACTGGCTCWGTGTCCATGTATCCCCATGCCGTCTCTGTATCCATGTATCCCACTTAAAACCTTGCAAGCAAGYGTTTGCTTTTGCTTTCAATTCCCACTTTAATGACTTGAAGCCAAACTCACATAATGATGCTTTTTCACCATGTTTATGTATGGCGATATATCAGATTTCTTTTTCTCTGATACCAAGCTTCGGATGTTGCTCTGCTTTTCCTCTCAGTTCRCTAGGACACGATAATTTTACTAGGGCTGGTACTCGGTTAAACTGTAAGTGTACTTACTGCCTTGGTGCCAACTGCTTTTGCAGAGGAAGAGTCTTTTAAGGGATGCACTATCTTTATTTTAAATGAGGAATTGCCAAGAACTGAGAAATTAGGTCTTTTAAATATTTAATAGACAGAGATTTCTTTTTTAATTATTTAATAGCTTGTTACAAAGGATGGCATAAAGAGCTTTGGTAATCTTTTATTGAAAGCATCTGTAAAAAAAAAAAAAGTATTCTACAACATATAAATATCAGTAGGAGAAATATCAATTTAAAATGTTATCATGTTCTGGCTAAAGTAATTATACTGTGCCAATACAGCTTCTAAATAACTCAAGACCTTTGCAATATCTGCTCTAGAAACACTTGTCTGGCTGAGGAAAATGCTACTTATTTTATTCGGGTCCAGAGGCTCAGAGAGAGGCAGTGCTGGGATGAGAACGTGGCAGACTTCAGCCATTTCCTTTCGATGGCAGAACCCTGAAGAGGGAGACCTGGAGTCCTCAAGTGGAATCCGGAACAACTCACATGCAGAGCAGAAAGCTGGTGTATAAATGCTGAGAACAGGGGCCTTCCCTTTTTTCCCTGCTTTTTTTTTTCTCCTGCTTTTCCCCCCATCCTTTGTTTTGCATAGCTCTGCTACAGATAGAGATGAGGATTTAGTTGCCTTGTGGCTAGGAGCAGTTATATAAAAAGACCTCTTTTCTTTACAGGGTTACTCTCCATGGATAAACATCTGCTCAAATTCCGTTCCTCCAAATTAACCCCATTCCACTGAAGCCACGGAGCTCGCCCACCAAGTTCCAGTCGTTTGCAGGCCTCCAGGTACCTCTTTGGAGCCAACTCGGGTGTTTTATTTTCTCTGAAGCAGCCCCGGTGCTCCTGGGGGGCCAATGGGAGGGTAGTTGTCTCCTCGCAGCCCCTGCTGCCCCAGCAGAGCCCTTGGCACAGGAGGTCACCAGCAACTTGCTTGTTTGTGCAATGCGCTAATAAGCGACTCCACTTCCAAAGCCACCTGCACCCTGGGACCAGCGTTAAGATCAGCAATCACAAAACCAGGCCAAAACATGGTTTTGTCATCGGAAGCCTGGAATTCCATTTAATGATATCAACCAGGTGAGTGTTTCTTTTCTCTTCTGCCCTTTATTTCAAATGAAACTGCTGAATCTCAGCCTCTTAGCTGCCTGTAGCAATTGCTTTCCACTCCTCAAACAACCCTATCCTCTTAAGAAAGCATGGCCAGTGGGCAGGAGAAAGCCCTGAGCTGAGCTGTGCTGGTGGCTGTGTTAGCTGGCTGCCTCTCCGCATCCATCTAATTACACTGAGTTGCAATAATCCATACTTCCTTATCTGCAACCTGTGCCTTGCCTGTGTTTACASAACAGGTTGCGCTAAAATTAGCATTTACATGTGGATAAATTTACTCACTTTTTCCTCCCTAATAAGAATTATGGAATGGATAAGCCATAAAACCCAAGTTAGTGTGTTGCAATATTGATTTCTACAAGAGYGCTGTAGAAATATATTTATCTACCTGCACTGTTGTGAAATGGGTAAAAATGTACCACGTAATCACCTCAGTCATTCAGTACTGTATTGAAAAGCCTGTTTGCTTGCTTKTTTTCTCAATAAAACTTCTGAGGCCCACTTTATTTCATGTGTATTTGTGGAAGAAAGGATGGTAATGCTCTGTCTTAAGGCAGCTTTTTGTCAACATTTTGTTTCGACCAAAGCTACTGAGTTGTGGCTGGCTAAATATGAGACTTTCCACGCTGGAAAGTGAAGGCAGGATAAAACGTGACTAATTGTATATTGGTGGCCTGGTATTTCTTTAATTCTACCAATTCTCTAATCTCTTATGGTGTTATGTTTCTTATGGCTCTTATGTTGAGCCAGATGGGTTCCTATACTAAACTTTTGAAAAGTATCTGCTTCCGTGCTCTAATGACCCCAGAGATACTTTGGCCTCCAATGTGACAGTGTAAGTTTGTATTTCTTAAAAGCAAATTTCTAGTTGATCAAAGACAGAGTGAAGTAMGAGAAATGATGGGAGAAAAGAGGGAAAACCTGTTGTGATCACTCTGTAAGTGAAGACTGTGTTGTTATTTCTCTGACAAATCGCACTATCGTGTTTTCTATAGCAGAAGGTCAAGATGAGCCCAGGGGTTGGAGTGGAAACAAATATAGACCAAAAAAAAAGGGATAGAGACTCAAAGGTCTGTGTAATGGAGTGATGAGCTCATTATTCTGTGGAACTTGACAGTACTGCAGCAAAAGTATCTCCATAGAGCGTCTTCTTGAAAGCGCAGCTTCGGGTGGAGGCAGGTTTGTGTGAGATGTGGTGCCTGGGAGCAAGGAGAGCCAAAGGTGACAGGGAGCGCTATGAAAGATTGCAGCACAGACACAGTGACTCAGCCCCTCTTCTCCTGGGTCCTCTACAAGGACTCCGAGGACCTTTGTCAAGCACTTAGGAAGGCTGTCCAAAGTATTCCCTCTGATTTAAATCACCTGTGGTTCACCCTGGTTTCAGGTAAGAATCGGGAGTCTGTTTGACTGAGGTGATGTCTTTTCCAGATCCACAGCTGCTTCRCCCTGTCAAGAAGGCATGCATTTTATTTGTAGTTTGCAGTCCAGCATACTCTGCTAGCAGTTAATCTAGGGATGCTTCAGCGCTGCYTTATGAAACAGGTGAAAGGAGCAATGTGACTGCTGCCTTTTGCCTTGGATTGCCCTGTAGATGGCACTGTGAAACAATGATTTTGGTAACCAACCTCTATTTCACARCATCGTTCCGGACTTTAATTGCAGTGTAATGTGGCTTTCTTTGTAGGTCCCCAAAGTGAAGGAAGAAATTCTGAAATGCAGAAAGGCTTATTTGCAGTCGCAAATGGGAATCTGGAATAACTATGAAAAACACACTGAAATAATTGTGTTTGACTGGAACAAAATTCTTGCAAAGTCCCCAAGGTAAGAGCACTTTTTATCTTTCGAATGACACTGAAGATGTTGCTGTTCTGGTTAGCAACAATATCCACTTGAATCCAACAGAGAACGAAGCCTTGACGTTTCAGAGCGTGGCAGCCCCCTGGCACTGAAATGCCTAGGTGCCCCTCACTGCATTTGTCTGCCAAGCTTTTTTTATTTTCTTTCTTTCTTTCTTTCTTTCTTTCTTTCTTTCTTTCTTTCTTTCTTTCTTTCTTTCTTTCTTTCTTTCTTTCTTTCTTTCTTTCTTTCTTTNTTTTCTTTCTTTCTTTTTTTTTTTTTTTTTTAAAGATTCCTCTCTGTTTATACTAGTGGGCTGAAGTTTGTATCCTGTCTACCTCAAGGTAGATTAAATTCTTATCTACCTGCAGCTGTATGCTGACTTTGGTAGGCAATGCTTTTAGCAGCCTTTCAGTTTGGATATAACTGTGCTCATATTTTGTGGTGATATGGGTATTTCTGGCCTAGAATGTACTACAGACTGTGGAGTGTCTGTAAAACTGGTGTAACTGAGAGTGCAGGAAGGATTCTGTGTGAGTTTGTYAGTAAATAATAACTGGGCTGTGCACATACTGGGCTGTGATGAAGGGGCCTGTCTCTCATACACTTTTGAGCATACTTAGAACTGAAGCCCAAATACATCTCTCTGTTTAAAGCACAAAGTGTTATATATACAAATAGAAAAAGCAAAATATGATACCCTTTGTAAGCTTTCTAAGCTTTTCCGTTTTCTACCTAAAATCAGGGCTGTGACTTCAGAGTGTCAAACTTTCAAAGTCTTGGAATAGCTTTTGAAATGAGGTTAATATACAGTCATTTCCACAAGAGCAGCCTTGCTCGCTCCCTGGGAATGGTGGAAACACCTGGCTTTGCTTACATGCTGAAATAAGAACTATTGAGCACATGTGGTGCACAATTTGAAAGTATATATTTCTTCCATCAACTTGACTSTGAAAGGGGTGCTCAAAACATCTGAAAATCTGATCTCTGGTATTTAGTTCCAAGGGTCAAATAGTGCTTTCAGTCATACCCCCTGAAAACCAAAGAAAGATCCCCATCCTCCATGTGTTCAGAGTGGCACTGAATGACTCTGTGATAACCATCTTGGAGGCTGTGTTTGCATTCAGAGCAACAGAAGAACAGTATTACAAGGCTGATTTCAAAGCCAASTGGGCAGCTTCCTTGGGCTAATATTAGCTCCACAGCAATGATGCCATTTATGCTCATTTCACAGTGACATGATCCCATTAGCTGCACTAGCATTTCATGGTTCAGCTGGGTGTGAGAGGTGAATTAGGCYGGTGCTTATAAGGTGAAGTGTAGCTGCTCTGAATTAACCTGGGAACTCCACATATGAGGTTATTTGTAGGGTAAGGATGAGTGAAGTCTCTATCATCTGGGCTTGCTACCTGTTTGAGGAAAGCTCCTATATACTGCTGCGAAAGAGCCTCAACGTATTTATTCCAGTACTGAGTCTTCTGTGTTCGCTGTTACAATCTGTTTGACTTGAAACAAAGAACCTTGTTAAAGCATGGAGAAAGGTTCCTTTTCTTTCTAAATCAGCCCTTAAAATGTAGCTATRTATATATGTATATATTTCTTAAATCAATAGCATGGTGAGTTATTCTTAGCAGTATTTGTGAAACTTTAAAAAAATTACAGGCTTGAATAAATTCTACAAAGACAACTGAAGATGTTGCTTTTTTCATTAATATTTGGGCTTTAGCAGCATTCCTGTTACTACTCAGAGAGGACAAAAAGGTCCTGTGAAGTGGGAAACTGAAAATTAAGCGAATGCTTTTACATGAGAAAACATGAGATATGTTTTGATTTATTTTTAAATAGTTATAAAATTTAAAACAGTGTGGAAATGCTTCCCAGGCTTTGACAGTAGTCTATGGTATGAGGGATTTTCTTTTTTTTTTTTTTTTTTTTTTTGTTCTAACTGTCAGACTGTTCGGCTGCTTGAATGATCTGATTAGCTGAACAGTCTCAGGTATTTTACAGATATACAAATAAACAAATTCTTTAGAAAATGCATGGAGGAATCAAAACTGAAGTCTCCAGGGACAGGAAGTTCTCAAAGGACTTTTTGGTGCGAATGAGCATGTTCACGATTGGCTTTTCCAAATCCCAGCATGCTGATTAACTGCAGACTGAAGTCACTGCTACGAAAGTAGTATTTAGTTCAATTTATGCAAATCTATAAATTGCCTTTAATAAATTTGATGTATTCCTACTTACAGCATTTGTTGAAAGTCTAGCACATTACATCTAAGAGTTCAAGTGCATAATGCCCACTTATGTATTGCACAAATAATAAATCATCATAACCGAGTTTAAAGAAATGATCGGATTACCTTTCCATATGATGAATGGCACAACATAAGCTATTGAGGGATTTAATTGTAGATACGTGCAGGAAAATTACCGAGGATTTGTGGTCGTAATTCTAACACTAACATGAATAAGACTAACAACATCTGTCTTCCAGAGAACAACTCTTTTCTGGAATGCAGCTTTCTTGCACCCTGGCAGACTAGCAAGTCCCTGCGTGGCTGACTGAGGCCAGGGTTTCAGGAGTGTTTAACCCTGAGCAAACCATTGATCTCCAGGAAAGCCAGCAGATGCCATGTGCCAGGAGGTCTAGTCATGTCATGTACACGTCTAAATGGTGGCTGGTAGCTTTAGCAAATCAGTCCTGAGATGGAGTAAGTGACAAGGACACTTTTGTGTGATGTGTGTATAAATCTGAGATAGGGGCAGGTTAAAAATAGGAGYGCAGCATATAAATATGTATGCTGGAATTTGAGTGTGGGTGTCTATAGCTTCTAAAAAATACCCACTGCAAATTCCTAGAAAGGCCTTGCACTCCTATGATGCTTTTATGAATATGTATGTGGGGGTAGTATGATGTGTGATAACCATTGCATTGCTTGCAATTATAAAACATGTTTARCAAGGAATTTATCCCACCAAACTGTGAATCCACTTTTGTCAATTCTGCCTTGTAATAAGCCATCTTACTCTTCAGCATTTTCCTTCCCAGCGTCATTTTTATGTTATTCCCTATTGTTCTTCACTCAAATGCTTCCTTTTCTGCCTCCAGGATGCGATTCTGTGCCAAATCAATGCTGCTGTCTGACTGGCTCTTTCTGGTCTATGTGTTAATGGTCTGCTGTAAATTGTTGTCCGCCTCTAGCCACCAGCCCCGAGGGCACACAGGTAGGAGCTTTTAAACTCATTATGTGCTACTGAGACCAATTAATACCCCTTGCAGAATGCTAGAGCTCACTTTTTAGCAATGGATAATTGATGAGGCTGTTGACAGCATGTTATAATCAGAACAATGGGTTAAAGATGCAACAACAATAACAAAAAAAGAGATATTGTAAAATTTTATGGGATTTTCTGGTAATTTTATGTTGTGAAGCTTGCCAGGCAATTTTTGGAGTGTCTTCGTGACTGTTAGGGCTTTGGGATTTTTTTGTGTTCTTTCAGTTTATCCTTTTTTCATGTTACTCTGAAATGTATCTTTCTCTCCTCCCTTTTAATCCAGTGGCTATTGAGAGACTTTAGAATTCTATCATTGACTTTGGTGGGCAATAGATCAAAATCCTAAGACTATATGTGACAATTCTTTCACTATGTAACACAAATATGGAACTGTCTTTTATTCCACCTTGCACTATTCCCCTTTTTTTCCCAGGCAAAATACTGGGGTGAACAGAAACATACTGAATTTAGGCATATTTCACTGTTCTAGCASGGTGTAGGTACTGGCTGTAGTGTAGCGCTATCTTATTATAAACAGTAGAAATAGACCCAAGCAAGCAGGCTGGCTTCATGAAGGTCTGTGGACCTGGATGTGGTCTGTGAAAGACTGGATCTGTGCTAGGACAATACAGAGGTCTAGCACAAGTCCATAAAGAAATATAGTTGTCCTAGTGCTAGTGCGAAGATACTGGTTCAGGTCCTAAAATAGCATAGCTGAGTTAGCCCTATGTCATCTTTGATTGCAAAAGCAGAGAGTTATGTTGATGTTAGCACATTCCGGCTTTGCTTTTAGGGACCGGATCAAAAGCCTGGGTGCACAACCATCGTGAGATGTCTGTACTACTCAGTACTGTAGTTAGCTTCATGCTGGCTTGAGGATTTCCTCAAGTACTGCTCTTTGTGATGTAGTCTCATTCTTAAATGAGGTTTATTGCCTTTATTCTATTTAAAATACTTATCTGCRTGCCAGATTCTCATGGATCCAAGTCCAGTGTTCGCATCCAGTTTGACTCAGTGCTGGAAGGTTTGGATGCATTTATTAGAAGCTCCATCCTCCAAATGAGCTGATCTTTCCTGGCTSCTTGTGGTGCCTGTCTGGGAAGGAACTGGAGAATCCTCATGTGCTTACTAAAATCTCTCCAGTCCTGTCAAGCAAGACTGGATGTGGCCTGTGTACAGCTGCTTTATCTGTTCTGCATGCTCACAACATAATACACCTGAAAGCTACACAGAACAAGCTGGGAATAAATGTTATAGTGTTAATAACAAAGTGCCAAAGGCTTGATGATGCCTCTTTCACTCCCTGGTAGATGCATTTTTTGTGCAGTAAAATGCATTTGCAATAAAATGCAGTGACAGGTTCTGGAGTGTAACAACTGACACGTTTCAGCTAAAGCCCATCAAAAGGTTCCTGTCAATACAGGGTTACAGGTTGATCCCTGTTGCCATTTTGCAGGTTGGCTGTTACACAAACTGCTTCAGTCACTTCACTGGGGAAGGAGGGAATCTACACATTGTGACTAGTTACTATCACTAGATCACTGAAGATGCTGCTTACGCAGATTTTTTCAGCAAGCTCCCTATAGATCTGTATTGGCAGGACAGCTCAGAATAGTCTTCCAACTTTGGTGCTCTGAATTACCATTTTGGAAGATGTGGTCTTTTGGGATTGACAATGGTTGGGAGAAACACAAGCACTGAACTTACCACAGGTATTAAAAAATCCCTGTGTTTTAGGCTCTGAGAGATCCTAACTGATACCTGATAAAACTRTCGATTCCATACTGTGCAGAATGATGTAACATTTTATGCAGGAAACTATTCATTTCTTCCTCTCTGCTATAACTTACAATCTATAAATAATGAAGCATTGAGCAGACATTTCCTCAGCTCACCTTATGTAAACCATTAATTGGTATAGCCAACAGAGCAGCTTCTGTCATGAACTACCCTTTAAAAGCCTTGGCTTTAAGGCTGCTGTGTTTCTGTGTCTCTTCCTTTTTTTTTTTTTTTTATTTTTTTTTGTGATGATGTTCACCCAAAATGATTCCAGCCTCTTTCTGCTTGCCAAAGGGTCCAGATTTTTGAGTGTCTATTATCCTTAATGTGCCCTGAATCCATACATTTAAGAAGTGTCTGTAGCTTAAAGTAGGGCCATTTTTTTTTCTCTGAATCTCATTGCTGAGTTCCTGTTTTCTCTACTCTTTGTGATTTCAAATGAAGAATTCAGTGGTAGCTCTAATGGCCTGCTTGCTTCCTGAAGCTGCAGAATAATGTGGAGCATAGGAGTAAATCACTGTGTTTGAGTGCACTGGGACTGCTTGGTCTTATTGCCACGTAGAAGAATGAGTAAATGAGTAGTAGCTTCTTTTCGCAGAGGTTATTCCTTGTTGCACTGAAGATGATTTAATTTACAGGGAAAATGGGAAAAGTCATGTTCAAAATGGCAGTGGCAAATCAAATATGCATGGAAAGTAGAAACTGGGAATTGAGTTCAAGAAGGAATTATGTCCAGCCTGAGCTGTTCAAGATTCCATCTCTTTGCTTGCTGAAATGCAGCAGAAAACCTGCAGTTTGCTGTCCGGCATCTTAGATGCCGTCTCCAGCAACCAGGTTGCTGTACTGAATGGTTTGCAGAGGAGCAGTGATTTCCTGCTTGAGATCATTTTCTGGGCTTCCACCAGTGTTCTGCTTCGTGTTCTTTTGTTTGATGCATGAATGGGATGAGACAGCTCTATGGAAAGGCTCAGCCTGTGTAGGAGAAATCTGAATGAATAATGCAGCAATGTGCTTGACACAGAAAACAGAGACCTTGCTGCTGCTCCCATTCTGCCCTGGCTGTGGCTTAGGGAAAGAAGTGTTTTTTAAGAATGTGTCTGTCTCCTCTTTTTGTCCCTCTGACATTATTCTCTAAAGGGACACTAGTTTAGCCTAGCAATGGGATAGACAGTCATTTGTTTGTCACAGAAACCTATCTGTCATTTAGCAGTAGCAAGTACTGTGCATGCTTGGGCCTGAGGCAAAGAACTACCACAGACGGACTGTGAATTAGACCAGGTGAAGGCGACAGTACAAGGCCTATGTGTCACACCAGATGTTTATCAAGTCTAGAGAAAGTCAATACTCTGGGGGAGTAGAAGGCTCTTCCCCCCAAAAGGAAACAAAAAACCAAATATAAAACCAACAACATATGTACAATACTGGCAAAGCACACACTGCATTGCCCTCTAGCAGTTAGTGAGGGAAGTGATAGTGAAAATCTTGATGAGTTGACAGTGGGCTCTGTTATCAGTAAAGCAGTCATCAAGTGGAGAAGTGGACAGCACAGTTCATCTGAAGGACAAAGAAGGGCTTCAGTGACGCTCTCAGACAGGACTAGGCAGCTGAGTGTGGGAGCATGAATGAGATTGGGAGCCTTCTGGCAGAAAGTTGCTCCTTTGAGCACAAAATAGCAATTCATGTCCCGAGGCAAGACCTGCAGCACCCTCAGGTTCTGTTTTGCTACTCTGAATGTGAAATGTCACTGTCGACTGGAATTCAGACCAGACGGATCAGCAAAGGCAGGTGATACCTCATGCTCTGTCTTTGGTGTCCAGTGGTCTGGCAGCAGATGGGCTTGTTTCCATCAGCTGCAGGTTTTCCCAGCTCTAAGGACTGTTCCCAAGTGAGAGGAGGTATTCCCGTACTCTGAGCCAGTGCTTCATCTATTTAAGTGAAGGCTGTGTATTTGAAAATGCAGCTTTGTRTTAGAAATAATGCTGCTTTCAGGTAAAAGGGCAAAAAAAAAAAGAAAAAACCCAAACTGAGGCTTATGGTTCTCCTCTTATTTTCCTGCTGGAGTTACTCTCGCAAGCAGTGTGCTCAGGGTGCCTCRGGCACAGGTCCCAGTTCCACCAGAGGGCCCTGCAAGGCCGTGGAAGAGGCTCCGGGTGCTCAGCTGCACACCGGCACCACGCTCCTTGTCTAATGATTTAAGTCGTAACTGTGCATTTTACTAATTAGAATTATGAGTCTTTTGTATTTCCAAGGGTCAGACGTGGTTAGAGCACAATATGCCTCAGTCCTTTGTTCCACTTAACTCCTTTTATGTCTTAATGTTTTATTCAGTGTGTTATTTATGTGTTTTATTATCCAGCTTCTAAGTATAGGGTAGCTACAATATACAGCCTTGGCTGTAATCTCTAAGTAACAAGATAGAGAAAGCAATTCTATTGAACAATAGGATCCTTTCTATACAAAATGGAGCAGAGATCTCTGCATGAAATTTGCTGGTATATTTATTCTTGAAAATGAAAAAAAAAAAAAAAAGGAAAAATACCTGTTCTTATTTTCTGTTAGTTTTATTCTTTTTTAAATTGCAGTGTGAACTTGTTATATATAGGATAGATTTTGACAAAGATTTCAGTTTGGATGCATAGGTATATTACCGGTAGGGAGCAATTTTGTGTTAATTTAGTCTTTTATAAGGTAAAACATAGCCTCTGGTATAGTTTTCCATGATTGTGCACTTTAGCTGCATGGAATGTGATTGTATATAAAAAGATTTGTGTATTCCAGGGAGTTGGGGGAAAAAATTACAGTTCAACTGATTAATGTGTAGGTTTTGTGCATCATATTTCATGATGTTCCAGAGGATAAAAAAAAAAAAAAAAGAACAAAAAGTTCTGTAACAAAAAGAAGGGAGGTTTTTGAAAGATGGAATCTCATTTAACACACACTGGTCAAGTCCAGTATATCAATCTATATAGCATGAGGCTGAAATCAAGCTCTTTCCTGCAATATCAAGGTGACCTTATTCTAAACCATAGGGGAAAGCTTGTGAAAATACTGTCTTTATTTTATTCATTTTACATTGACAGCATCATTTTTTATACAGCTGCAGTCTGCAATAAATGGTAATCTTTGCATTCCATTGGCCAAAATTCTAACCAAGAAAGCTTTCTTTGCTC